CCACCCCGTGCAACGATGTGAATGGCGTCGCCGGCCAGTTTTCCAAATAAGTGCTTGTTGATCCATTAACACTATTAGGGGTGTCCATGGGAAAATTTTAAAGTTTAAGGGAGGTTTGTGTGACACCCCAAAGTTCAGAGGGGTTTGGTGGGAGAAAATTTTGGGACTTTCATGGAAATGCCCCCAGAAAATCAGGGGAGTCTTGTAGAATCTTCCCAAAAAATAAAACCAAATCAAAAACAACCTCAATCAAAAGTTTTACCAAAACCCAATAAAACACTTTACAAAAACCTAATAAAACAATTTACCAATACGCAATAAACCTTTTACTAACAACAATGAAGTTAAACCCTTTATCAAAACCCAATGAAATGATTTACCAAAACTCCATTAAACCCTTCACTAACACCCAGTAAATTTTAACCCAAAACTCAATAAACCATGTACAAGAACCAAGTAAATCTAAGCCCAAAACCTAAACACAAATAAACCTAAACCTTAGCCCCAAGCTCAAAAAGCCGCTACGCAGCCTACTCCAATACCGGTGATTCATTGCTGTTTTACCATCAATTTGCCGCTGATGACTTTCCTCAAATCACCCCCGAAGAGTCAACATCCTCCAAGATGTAAAAAGTAGGTAACAGAAGATAGTTTTTTTAGTTTTCCTTATTTATGATATTAATCAACTTTTATTACCATTTACCCAAAAACTATCCTCTTCCTACACTATTCTTTTATTTAAAGTGGTAAAAGATCATCAAGCAAATACCCAAAAAAAACACTTAGGCTCCTAAGAGCCTGCGCACTAGGCGTCAGGTCCAGCGATCAGAACCACCACCAACAATACATGTAACATTAGCTCACTGGACCCAACAAACAATATAACACGAAATTAAGGTGGAGAAAGAAACAAATGTCAGCTCACTTTATATGAAAGTACGAAGAGAACATAAGAGAAATGGGAATGTGAATGAGAAAATGTCATGGCTTAGGGAGAGAATCATTAGAAAAATAAGCTCACTTTGTTCCAAAAGCATTCAAATTGTTCAACAAACATATGAAATGACCACAAATAAGGTGATATCTCTAGAAAACATAAGCTTGCAGATAGATTGGAGTAACCACACAGCTAAGGAATCAAAGCTAGACATCACCAAAAGGCAAATATCAACTTTCTCCACTGGAAAATATTTTTTTAACAGATCACAAGAATTATATGGTTGTTGGATTAAGATAATTAACTTGCTTGAAATGACTTTTAAAAATGAAGCAATGCTTGCGACTAAAAAGTATCTGATCTTGGGAATTTGCAGATACCTCTTGGATGTTTCTACATCCACGATCTTTTACTAATATTCAGAAACTACATTGACAATTATCAAAATTGCATTGCGGACATAGGAATATGGTCCTTTTCTTTAAATTTTCATGTTAATTTATAATGTTCTAGGGGAAAAAAGAGAATAGTGATTGATTTGAAATTTGATTAATTTTGGCCTGTATCTAATCGTAAGATGAGGATACAATAAAATCCAACCAGGAAATAGTAATAGCGGTAAATCTGAGACCCACTATTAGACATTTATTAAACAATAACACGTTCACCAAGAAAAACATCCTAGTCAAATTATCAAAATCTTCAAAAATGTATATTTTTGGTGTTCTTTTACCATGCCCTGGTCCTTTGAGGATGTAGCATCTAAACACCGTATATGTGCATGCATCCATGTGTACATGCATGCAGGAATTAGCAGACTCACCAAATGACAATTTAATCGCCATGCGCATACTATTTCCTTTTCTAGGTCTCTGAAGTTTCATCTCATCTGGTCCCTGTATCTATATCATATTGCATCCATATAAATATACTGCAGTAATGCGAGGTCTAATGTCCATAAAATACAAAGTTCGCAAAAGTCAACCCAAATTATATTTTTTGGGCTCCCGATGCTACATATAGATTTAGCTAGTATAGATCCATATCTCAGTAAGATTCTCAAAAGCAAGCGAACAGTGCTTTGAAGAGGAGATGGCCAAATCAAATAGCGTGTGACCATAATACATTTCCTCTGTACCAGTCGCCCAGTATGATAACCATTCTTCATTCATCATAGTGCACCAATTATAACCCTAAGTTCCATGGAAACGGGTATGGGTGCAGGTACGAAAACTGGACACAGAAAAATAGTAAAATGTAGGGTACTGGGACACGTGTATATATATATATATATATAGGCACACTTTATATTACAGAGGATTTTTCTTACAGACTCACTTTACTCTTACTAATTTTTATTCTCTCTCCCTCCGCTCTTCTAACTCTCAGACCCCTTTCATATTTATAGACGACTTCTTCAGTCTTCAAAAGATTCCTTGAAAGCGACTTGACGCATTTACGAAATCGTCGTGGCGCATAACGATATAATGGCGCACTACCAACAGTAAGATGCTTTCTTTTTAAAAGTAGCTTTATAAAAGCATCTTTTAGAAAAGCTGCTTTATAAAGTAGCTTTGCAAAAGTAGATTCTAGACGGCTCCCCGAGACTCAATGTAGATTTTTATACTGCTTATGAAGCGGGTTCTTTACTTTTAAGAGTAGGTATATTATTGTCAAATATTTTTGCCCAGATGTCTTCTGGATCTTGTGCATCTTGAATAGGTGTATCTTCTTCCATAGAATGGCTACTTCGGGTATCACCAGTGTTAAAAACTTCTGCAAATTGTTTCTTAAAATATTCCGGACATTTTTGCTGGATTTCTGATTCAGAATTTTGAGGGTATTTCCTCATCATTTTTGCTATTTTTAATAGCGGATTCTCTTTGAATTTCTTGAGTCATATGAGACTCTAGCACAGAACTATTTTTCTGAATAATTTCTTCTAATTGCTTAACCTTTGATTCAGGTCAATCTCATTCCACCAACGGCAATAATATTTTCTTTTTAAGACTGGTATATAAGACACAATCCAATCACATTCAATAGTTCAATTCCAAATCCAATGAATTTCTACTTTTGCAAAGAAATATATCAGACACATGTCATCTATAAGTTGGCTTTCATCTAGATTAGCAAGAATAGGATTGGAATCAACCCAAGATGAGTATAACTTCATCAACGGTTCAGGAATAATATTGTTCTCAATGCCATAAGTTTCCCACCATTTATAAAACCAGGCTGGAATTCCCTTTTGAAGAGCTGCTGGACATAGTTTAATTAACCATGTATGTTTATTTTTGGGATTTTGATATAAAAACACATCATGAAAGGCCTGCTTATAGTCCCAATAATTAAAGAAATATGTTTCTTTCGAGTTTTGGGCTTTAATAAGGGCAACTCTTGATTTGGGTTTATAGCCTTCTTGGAAGTATAACTTCTTGAATAATACACTTACTGAAACTGGGTGGAACGGTATGATTTTCACTGGCCCAGAAGTGTGTAATTTTCATACCCTTTTGTATTAGAAGAGTCTTCATCCATGCTTTTGACTTCAGAGACAATGTCGGATAATAAGTTTCATGCAGATATTTCTGCCTTATTTTTTCTGGATCGTTCATTATAGAAACATCCTCTGGTTCTAGATAAAGAACCACATCTGATATAGGTTTTTCAGTCCATTCAATTTCCTTTTTTACTATAGAAGTAAAAGGTTCAGGACTATTTTCTTGAGCAATAAGATCATTAATGCCTTTATAAAAGGCCTAAGATGGGCTTGAAGAATTATGTTTCTTCGAAATAGTTCTCCATGAATTTGGCTGAGATGGAGTATAACTCCTTTCAAAACTATTTTGGCCTATAAAGCCTAAGCTTGAACTCGGGCCTGAGCCTCCTCTCCCCTTCCCTGAAAAGAAGGGATTATTCCGTCTCATTTGTACCCTGTAAAAATTCGTGGGATAGAAAATCAGGAAGATGATTATAATCACCTTTAATATATTCAATTTTGAATTGATACATGGCTAATTCAGCTTGCCATCTAGCAAATATTTGTTTAGATACTAAATTTTTAACATCTTTTTCAATAATGCTTTTAGCAGAACTACAATCAATTCGTAATAAGAATTCTTGATTTAAGATATCATCTCGAAATTTAGAAAAGCATTTAATTATAGAAAGCATTTCTTTTTTAATTGTGGAATAATTAAATTGGGTTTTATCCCATTTACCAGAGGTAAAACGAACTAATTGTTCTTTATTAGTTTGAGGATCAACTTGTTTCAATATTCCTCCAAAACCAATATTAGACGCATCTGTTTCAACTATTTTGAACCAGTGAATATTGGCAAGATGAATACAAGGTAAACATTTAACTTTAAGTTTAATTCTTTTAACTGCAGCAGTATGTTGCTCAGTCCAAGGCTTAGCATTTTTCTTAAGTCTATCATATAGAAGAACTGTATGTTGTGCTAAATTTTTATAATAATCTGTAACATAGTTTAATACACCTAAAAATCTTTGTAATTGTTTAGTATCAGTGATTTCATCAGGAAATTTAGATGCAAATTCAATACTACGATCAATAGGGATTGTTGTTCCCTTTGCTATATTATGACCCAGAAATCTAATCTGGGTTTGAAATAATTTCATTTTAGGGGCAG